CAATATGAATTTTGTTGTGAAAGTTTCATGATAATCTGCATGTGGAGTCAAAAACTACAGTACTTTACAACATATGCCCAATGTGGCCACTTCTCCTGTACATGCACAATCAAATCTGGCGAAAGAAGTTGTTCAATTGTCCATGGCGTGACTAAAATCTATCTAGAGAAGTAAAACTAGTGTCAGACAAATTCTCAGATGTTCTTCAATTTTAAGTGGATAGCTTCATCAGAAGCTTTGCAATCCATGTTGGTATGTGTAGGAGAGTCATCAACAGCTTCGTTGGCTGGAGTGGTGGCCACATGGGGCATGTGTTGTAAAATGCTGTAGTTTTAAATTTACTTTATAAGCAGATTATCATTAAATGTTCACAACAAAATCCACATTAAATGAAGTAAATAATTCTGAAATATTAAAGCAAAATATGCAAGATTGCCCAAAATAATCAACATGAACAAGATATGATTTCATAGATTAGTTTGATATTATGACATATTCCGAGCTGACTTGCTGTTTATTTAAACCATCTAAGAGGCTTAATCATTGAAAATCATTACAAATAAAGGTCTTAACAGACAGTATTAAGGTACACTATTAGAATACCCTAATTATTTCCAGGCTTAGAATTTATTGGTACCTACTACTGTTTCATAGCTCGGAGGTTTAATATATGATATACCCTGACTAGTTTTTCTGCAGATTTGAACCAATGACAGGTCTAATCATTGATTATACTTCATATACTGGGTCTTAAATTGAAGTATTCAATAGAACCCTCTATGAAAATTCAAAAAAAGATTCAAAATGACATTAACCTCAACATTAGATCTGAATAAGGATTAAAATCCTTCATAGAGCTGAACAGGGATTCTTGCATTGAACTATGTGGTTAAAGGCTCTACAAATTCAATCAACCAAGTTGATTGACCCCTATGCCAGTATGCTATTGGTTAGAAGGGTGGCAGAATTGTAGGCATAACACAAAGACAATATCTGCATTGAACAGATGGGCACCGGGGTATAATCTTAGGTCACACATGGGGAGTCCAAACAAGAATGATGTTTGGACTTGCGTTTTGAGATTCCATAGAGGGGGGGGGTGGTAATTTGCAAATCAAAACAAGAATCTATGGATATATAAGCACAAATGCCAAAGGGAAGGGTGACTAAAAACATTAAAGAAACCCAACAAGAAAAGCAAACCGCAAGTGCAAATCTGTCAAAAGAAAAGTAGACCCTATATATCCCAAAACCATAATCTAACGTGAAAAGAAACAATGTCTAACATCCCCCCCCCTCCAATCGAGAACCAATATCACAATCCCGGACCAGAACACCAAGGGACATTTCATTCATACTGAAGTCATTACAATACATGTTGAAGAAAAATTGAAAAAATTGATAGCCAATACTCATAACATCAAAAATAGTTGTAGATACTAGTATTCAGTCTCTGGAAGAAGATAAAATATGTGACATGCTGCTGAAGTTTGGCATGTTTTCAGAAGATCTATTACTTAATCTCCAAAGTATATGTACAAAAGATGTACTCACAGAAACAATCAACAGGCTCGACAGTTTGGCCAACAACAACTGGATGTCTTTGTGTCTTAGAGGTTGATACCAACAGGGTCAAATGAAAGACACAACATTTCTTGATCTACTGAGCAAGCACCAACATTTTTTAAACTATATGCCTAATCCCAATATAAACGAGCAGAACGTTGTTAAGGCAGACAGGAATGTTTTGCAGAATCTTATCACTGCATATGAAGCTAACCACAGACCTGTGGGCATCAATGAAATCATGAAACATGAGCTGATGTATTTTCCAATAGCCCTCTCATTGACGAATGAAACATTCAAGCCAACTCAAATTTACTCTACTCCTTAACTGTTTAACAAATGGTATTGAAATGCCAACCGTAATATTTCCAATATATGATCCTTCTTACAAATTAGCATCAATTGCATCTACATCTGAGGATTTGGCTACAGTCTTCAAGGAAGCAAAACTTCAGCAGTGAAGTGTACTGTGCCCCATCTTGCATACTTTTGGTGGTCATATCTCATGAAAAGGGGGATCATGCATTGAAATACATTGAGATGAAGCTCCCAATTTCCCTTTCTTTGGGCTATGGTGAAGCGTATCAAGATTTGGACCATGTCCATGTATTACTACCAGAATGAAAAGTAATCCTTGTCTTCCTTGTTCAGCTCTATGAAGGATTGTAATTCTGATTTACAAGAGTCATCCGAGATCACATCAATCAGTTGCTTTATTTGATTTCCAGATCCAATGTTATGGTTAATGTCATTCTGAATCTTTTTTGAATTTCCCATATATGGTCCTATTGGATTTAAATTTCAAAAATTGCTACTCTGCAAAAACTCTCATTAACTGAAACATCCCACTAATTCAAAATGTTGTCAAACTGAGTATATGCCATTTGTCAAGAATTTCTTCCTTAACTCCAAGAGTAACACAGAAAGGTTAATGGGGACAGGGGGGGGGGGGATTTTTAAATATGACTTAACATTGTTCAGGGAAGAAAACTCCATAAAATGAAGATTTGTATGAATCATTGGTACTTTTGCTCTCACGTCATGCAATTGTCAGGCTGCTTAGAATGAAATTAGCCTTGTCTTCCTAGTTCAGCTCTCTGAAGAATTGTAATTCTGATTCAGATCCAGTGTTGAGGTTAATGTCATTCTGAATCTTTTTTGAATTTATCATAGAGGGTTCTATTGAATACTTCAATTTTAGACCTAGTATATTAAGTATATTCAATGATTAGACCTGTTAGGTGGTTCAAATCTGCAGAAAAACTAGTCAGAATATGTCATATATCAAACCTCCGAGCTATGAGACAGTAGTAGGTACCAATATACTCTAAGCCTGGAATTAATAAGGGTGTTCTAATAGTCTACCTTAATACTGTCCGTTTAGGCCTTTATTTGTAATGGTTTTCAATGATTAAGCCTCTTAGATGGTTAAAATCACCAGAAAGTCAGCTTGGAATATGTCATGCATCAAACAACTAATCTATGAAATCATAACTAGTTCAATTATGCTCATACCAGTAGAATGATACTAGTGGTATACATGAATTTAATCGATTGCAGACCTATGATTTAAGAATGAATTTTCAATGATAACACTTAAAAGATTGTTCAAACCACCATAAAGCCAAGCCAGGATATATCATACATGTACATCATTTCTCTAAGCTAGAAAACTAATATTGGTACAAATATGTTCATAAATAAGAAATTATAAGGGTCTTCCAAGGGTATACGTATAACTTATCAATTTTAGACATCATATTTCATGAATTTTTAATAGTTGAACATGATAAAAAGCTTAAATCCTACTAAAACTTTGCTAAAATAAGTTTTATATTTTAGATTTATTCTAAAATGCTAAATATATGAACACAGAGGGATAAATGTTAAAGCAATAGGGGTCAGTTATAGTCACACATAAAATCAGTCCCAGCTAAAATGTCATTTTTTCTTAAATTCACTAATTTTTTTCAAGGCAATTACCACAGGAATTACTTTGATTCTTGCAGGATTAGTAGACCAGGTATTATGCCTTTTACATGGATTTTTTTAGCATCCATCATTGTCTAATAAAAAAGTTATGACACGAAAAGTAAAAAATGGGTCATAAATTTGCCCCCTGGGGTACATACTTTGTGCTTTTATTCAAATTTCTTAAGGGTAATCCGTATCATTCATACTTCAAATGTTTATTTTATACAATGTCCATGTATTTCACTTACAAAAACCATAAAATCAAAGTTATTTTAGGTTGAAGAATTTTTTCCCCCTGATAGGGGTGAATTTTGGGTGTAGGGGGACTAACATGGTATTTTAAGGGTTAAATAATCATATTTCAGCTTGCCAACATGGTTTTTTGGATACAGCATAAAAAGTTACATAAGAAACACTTGTCAGAACACTTTTAACACTAAACGCCTACCACATTTTACATAGAGACCTTTTGCAGAAAAGCACCCGGTCTATAGTGTTGTGCTGATAAAGTCCTGATAAAGAGGATCAGCTGGATTCGTATAGATGGCACACTGTTTGTTGAACTATATTTACCAACTGTTAATAAGATTTGTTACGCAAAATATGCCATATTTAGATTATATCATGTGAACAGCTTTACACCCTTACCGAACCAAAGTAATAACCTTGGGAAAACCGATTGTTCCGTCTTATTCTGAGTAATACCACTTAATATAGCAGTTCAAGGTAAACGGGAACACATGCCAAAAAGTGATATTATAGTTTTATCACAATTGGTTCTAACTCTAATGAGTTAAACACAATACAAATACATACCTGCGGTATATTGCATACTCGCTAACCAACGAGAACGGGAAACGGAAGTATGCAATTGTCAACTGCATCGATTGAACCACGGGCAGAAATTTATAAAAAATACCCTCGATAAAAAAAACTGTATGGTCTTTTATCTCATATTTCATTCAATAGTTTGTATAATTTCACTAAATTCTTCGAGGCAAATTGTGTAAATATGGTGGATAACTGGTGAATGTTATAAGAATTTGGATGTCAATGATTAATTAAAACATTGTCTTACAAACTCACTTATGTGACTTCTTCCTTTTCAACTGCGCACCCCCTACCCCTAGCCTCATTCTGAGAAGTGACCTTGTATTTTACAGTGAACGAACAAAAATTTAGTTTACAATTTACTATTATGCACTGAAATACATTTTCTTTTATGGATAGGATAGTATCATTTTCTATGTTAAAATCTTCATACCATTGTAAAGCCCATCTCAAACTGTTCATGACTACCAGGTTTGAAATAAACATTAACCCAATTACTGAACGTTATGGTAGTGCCAAAACCCATTTAAAACTTTTTTGCTCAATAAACACTGACATTTATATTCACTATCTGACATGGTATGCATAAGATAATTATAGGATGTACAGGGCATTCAATAAGTTCTGATAAAATGCTGTAACTTTTTGGTTTTTTCATATATCTTACAAATTTTTTCTATTGTGCATTGTTGAGTAATATTAAACTGATGTACTTTGAAAGTTACAGGATTGTGCTCCAACAGAAAGGTGGTGCTGGGTTGAGCCGAAAATGGTAAGTGGTTGATCAGGTATAAAAGAAAGTCTCAAAATGACCAACTTAAAATGTGAATATTGCTCCTCAGCCAATTGCTTGAGCCATAATGTCTCTGTGTAATCTAACATACTTATTATGATAAACTTATATTTATCAGTATTTACCATTCATATGTATTGCTATATGTTTGTGATTATTAAACTTTAATCTGCACCATGAGTTACTGTAGATGTTAATGATTATATATTTGACCTTTTCACACAGCAATGTCAGTATTATGGTGTGTGCGATCAACACTCTAATCAGTCATGTCTGCATTTTTTCCGATGGGAATTCATCCAATATTTATTTTATTGTATCATTCCAACTAGGGAAAGTTACAGCTTTTGGTCACCCCTGTCTAGGCTCATCTTCAACTGACTTTCTCCCTCTTTGAAATAGCGGTACCAATGATATATGCCAGGGGTAGATATAGTGTCCTTCTCATAAGCTTCATGAATGTCTGTTTTGATTTACCCTAGTATGGCATCATTTATGTCTCAAAACCTTTTCGATACGATTTTCGAGTCTAAATCGTAAAATCGTATACGATTTTAGAAAAACTTTAGTCGTTGTTGATAACGTGACATTTATAAATCGTATACGACGCTTAAAGACGATGTGTATAAAATAAGAATTCATTTCCTGGGAATATTTCTGGTGTAGGTTAACAAATGCATGTATATAAAAACGTGTACGTTTTTAAACGCTGTTAATTGACGCGTAGTGTATATCTTGTATAATTCTAAACGTAGAATATTTTTGAAATTTCTATACGATTATATCGTGTAGATGTAGTACGGCTCTATATAGAAAGATGTCACTGTACGTACATAATAATTGAATCATTCTTTACAGGCCAGTTAATATCGCTTTATAAATTAAAGGTACAGGGTGTCCCACAGCTCGTGGAAATTTATGAGAGGTGCTTCTGGGTGGTTTTCAGGCATGTATTAAACCTCCCAAAAGATGTGTTCCCAATGTGTTCGTCGGGGAATATATGATCAGTAACACATGACGAAGTAACAGACAGAACCAGGTACTAAGAAGAGGCACGTGCATCGAAATAAATAGTCGAGTTTTCTTGCACCAAGATGAAAAAACATCAAACGCTCTCACTCTCTTTGTCCCAATAATTAGTCAGGGCATACAGAATGGGAGGGGTATTTTCAGACAGACAACAAGGGCGTTAAATGACACCCCATTGAATAAGCAAGAAATAATATTGGGATCATAAGTTTGCTTCACTGTGGGATCATAAGACTACATTTTGAGGATTGGCCTGGACTGATCAGAAAATGAGCATGGAATGGGACAGTATAATAATGATTTAACACGCAAATCGATCTTAATGTCAGAAAATATATATTTTGTTATATTCTTTAGTTCAACCCACACTTGTGAGTGTAGAATAGTACATATACATACAATAATAACATGGAATTCGAAGATGATCAGACGTTTAATAATGACATCACAATAAAAGAACAAGGAAATCAATGTTTGAAATGATTCTTTATTTCCTTCAGTTTTGGAGAGAGCCATATTACACAGAATATAACTACATTACACGTTGATTTTATGATTCATGGAATATATGACCTTTACTAATGCCCATTACTTCGCGATTTCAGTTATTACTCATCATGAAAAACCATGACATCTCAAATCTTCTCAGCCCTGAGATGATGTTTCAGGTGAAACAGAAAGATGCTATGAGTATCAGAGTGGTTATTTCTCAGCTATAAATTGCTTTTCGATCATACAGGGCGTTAAATAAGTCTGTTCTGCCCCCCCCCCCTTAACTTTTAAATTTAGAAATAACACAGGGTTTTTATATACCATTTTAAAGGGAATTTAATTTGCTGATCACACACCAAATTTCAGAGAGATTTGTTAAATTACAAATTTTTAAGAGCATTTTTAGTGATGTTCCTATTTCACATTCTTAATAGTTAATATGTTTACCCAAAGCGATTCTCGATTCTACAAGGATATGATTCAAAAATGAATGTTCACAAACAGGGGTGTTGCACTTTCAAAGTTTCTAAAAGCTTTCTTGATACATTTGAGCAATGTATCATGGCTATGAAGTTCCTCCTCTGGTTTAGCTTTTTCGACCCTGTCCTAAATAATCGCAGTATTAACTTTTCACCATTTGTTCATCATCCTGGTAATTTTACTCTTTTTGACGCAATCAATGGTCAACTACATCCTTTCAAGAAACATTGTAGCAATTCTATTAGGAAGAGTTCATTAATTTTCTTAGAGCGATCAGCATTTTCAATAAGCTTTAAAATGATATAAGGAAAAGTATGATAACTTTAGAAATAAAAGAGTTAAGGGGAGAGAACAGACTTATTTGACGCCCTGAATCATTAGATGTTTATCCTGCGTTCTCTATGTACTAGTGGCGACATCCTTTATTGTATCAAGCCATCCCAATTTAAGAACACGACAACGAGTTATGTAATCGGATATATTTAATAGAAAATCATCAAGATTATGTAATCGTATACATAAAATTGGCTAGTCCAGCTACAAGCCCTTTTGACCCCCCTAGACACACGAGTTACGTAATAGTATGTGAAAAATCGTCGACATTTTATAATCCTATACATAAAACTTCGTATAGTACACGATATCGAGTTATGCAATCGTCCATAGAAAATCGTCGAAATTCTATAATCGTATACATAAAACTTCGTATAGTACACGATATCGGGTTATGCAATCGTATATAGAAAATCGTCGAAATTTTACAATCGTATACATAAAACTTCGAACAGTACACGATAACGAGTTACGTAATCGGATGTGGAAAAATCGTCGACATTTTATAATATCGTATACATAAAACTTCGTATAGTACGCGATATCGAGTTATGTAATCGTATACATTTTATCGTCGACATTTTATAATCGTATACTAGTACATATTATAAAATCGTTGTATGAAATCTAATAGTGGCGACATCTTGTCATCCCAAGTTGACATGTTCAAGTTAATTACACGATATCAAGTTATGTAATCGTATATAAAAAACCGTCGAAATGTAAAGAAAAACGTATACGATTTTAGATACAAAAATTGCAATGAAATCGATAACATTGAAATCTATTTTATCCCTTCAATGGACATGTCAATCAAAGTTCATCTACTCGATATCAGTTGATGATAGATATCGAAAAGTGCACACGATGAAGGACATACGATTTTTTATACTACAATTTCATACATTGAATTTCAAGCATAAAAGCTGAATTTAATTTCTACTGTATATATGTCCGATTTACTTTTGTCTGATTCAAAAATAAGTTACATACAACTGAAGTACAATACATGAATTACATTCGTAAAATAAATTAACGTATTTCAAGACTGAAGACATTTCTAACTCATCTAAGCACTTGATTTAAGAATTTCACTTTTCATTGTCATTCCTTTTCCATTCTGATTTATCAGAGTCTCTGAACTATTCCAAAAGGATAGTAAAGGCTGTGGATCCCACAATGTTCCTTTTCCAATAGTATTGTACATTTGTCACGATGCTGCCATAGTAGCAATAAAATGATGATCGATGATACACATGTACGTACTATTCCTAAAATCAGAGTTCCAATCTGTCAGGCTTTCTACTATAGATTGCAGCGTTGTGGGATTTTTTCCAAAATATAATTGTGGTACGTCTAGGTAATTCGACCCAACATTGAAGTTGATCTTCCATCGAATATGTGATTCTCAATGTACTTCCTAATCATGATTGGTGAATATCAATATTTGTAATTACACATCTCTGTTTTTGCTTGTTCCTTCAATGTCCTCATCTGGAAATACAATAAAGGAAGACGGAGCAAACATTGGTTTATAAAACTTTATAAACCAAAGATTGCTCGTGGTTTAATTTCTAAACATAATATAAAAACAAAATAAGAATGAATTAACATTGATGATCAAGCTAAGAACATAAAACAATATACTCAAGAGAAATTGAAAGCAAATAATATGCTTTACACTCATAACCGTTTTGGCCTATAAAGGAAATGTATGTAGATTAATGTGTTATAATTGTGCGCGTTAATACAAAATCATCAAATATATCTTGCCAAACGTAAACTAATTCTTGGTCAAAATTTAATCAAAATATTAATTATTAAGATAGACGTATTTTTATAGTCTTTTAAGGTTAAACTTTTTCAAAATGTATTTTGTGCAAATTTTTAAGCAAAGATTGACAAACAAGACTTATATTAGAATTCAATATACAATATAATAGACTCTAGATAAAATGCAAATTATATTCTATTTTAGATTATATGTTCAGTTCAGTTCAATGTAGTCAACATTAAACACTTATCACCTTTTTGACCTATAAAAGAAATGTGGGTAAGTTAGTGTGCAATACCTTATTTACTGAGAAGAATATTAATATAAAATTACATAGTATAGTAAATACAACAAAACAAACCTGAGATAACTCTTTATAATTAATCAAATCATTAATTCATTAGATAGACGTACTCTTTAATTAAACATTAATTTTAACTAATACAAAATATATTTTAAAATTGTTGAACAAATAATGACACAAAACTAAAACAATATGAAATCAAAGCATATGCTATCTTAGATTATAGGAAATAATAAGTGATGTATTATGTTGTCAACATTATATATATTAAACACCCATCCCCTTTTTGACCTATAAAAGAAACGTATATAAGTAAAAATAAAAATGATATATTGGAATTAATCATTATTTATATAGGCCATACATTAATAATATTCCAAAATGTATGTTAACCAAAGACGAATTAGATAAACAAGGTTAGAATACAATAGAATAGACTCTAGATAATTTAATTTGAAACTAAATTCGATAGCAAATTCATAGATAAAAAATCTGCACGTGCTGCAGGATCAAAATACATCGTAATTGAACAATATAGATTTAGGTAAGATCATACGTTTTCTTCGC